TATGTAAAAACGTGTTTTCAAAACACATTTGAACAAAATTCAAAACCAGCACTCACTCTTCTTTGTCACAGACACTCAACTCACTCTCCTATCTCTCTCTCTGACATCACACCCACAAAACACTCACACTCACATCAAAACAATATAATTTTTAATATATTATAAATTTATTTTATAAAATTTACAGAACAATTAATTTTTTTTTAATTTAATTTTTCTTTTTAAATAATTTATTTTATAACTGTCATAAACATAAACCTCAGGGGTGCCAATGTAATTTACCTAAATAAAAAAATTACATTTTAAGAATTAAAGTAAAAAAATAATCATTTTATATAGTTGATTATTATTTGCTATTATCAATTATTATTATATATATTTAATATTGGTCTGAATTTTACAAAATAAAATTTATATATATTAAAAATTATATATGTTTGATGTGAGTGTGAGTGTTGTGGGTGTGTGTCAGAGAGAGGGATAGAGAGAGTGTTTGTGAGCGTCTGTGAGAAACAAGAATGAGTGCTGGTTTTGAATTTTTTTGTTGAATTTTTACATTTTGCTTAGAAGTGGTTATCATCCACGGGTCAACAGTAAGAAAGAATTAGAAAGAATTTTGCAACCACATTTTCTGAAAATAGAAAGAATTACTTAACAAAAGCATGGTTATGTATAAATCAAATTTCCTTAATCAGATTTACTTTTAAAAAATAATTCCCTAAAAGCGTGATTTGTAACCACGTCTTGTTAATTAAAAGCATGGATTGTACCACGCTTTTAAGATTTTACAAATTGTCTGCAGGAGGGCCACAAAAACGGTGAAAGCGTGGTTTATATTCGCGTTTTAGCTTAGTTTAGGAATTCTGTCCAAACTAAGCCTACTTTGGGAAATAAATTACTATTTTGACTTAATTTGGGAAAAGCCCCTAATTTGGGCAATGATTTAATCGTACGCATGTAAATGATAACAATTTAAAAAACACTTATTTTCAGGATATTTTGATAAATCTTGATCTATTCAGACATTAGTATTTCGATAAACTAGACAGATATATCAATAATATTGAATATGAAGACAATATGAAGATTCTTCTTTTATTTTTCTGTTCATATAATTTTATAGTATAATTTGTATCAAGTTTTGTATTTATTCAGTGCGATTGGACAAAATTGGACAAGTCATACAAAAATCTTAAATCATAGTGTAACTTTTTCTATGAAATTATTATTTTTTTCATTGAGTTGAAATAACTCAACTGATTTTGTATGACTTGTTTTTAATTTTTATTTCAAACATTGTTCACATAATTTTTTAAAACTGGTGGTCCAATTAGTGAGATTTATGGACAATTAAAGAGAAGTTACTTTTATTTGCTCAAGCTTCTGCCAATAGGGACCTTAATGACAAAGTTATTTGGTAGGTTATTTCCTATGAGATTATTCCCTAACTTAGGGAAATAACCTCATACGAAATAACGTAGGAAATAACTTAGGGAAATAACGTAAGAAATAACATAAATAAAAAATTAATGAGCTCTCATAATTTTAAGCAATATAAAAAACATAACAAAAAAATTATCAACTTGAATCGAGTCAAACTTGAGTTTCATTAATATTAATGAGCTGTCATTATGTGTTAAAGATTAGGTATGCTCCTTTCAGATCTCAAGTTGAACTCTCAGTATGTGTCATGTTTATAGGTATTAATTGAGATTTGTCGGATCTACGTGGAAGGGACGTTTGGTGTGGATTGTAAGATTAGTCGATAAATACGTAAAATGATTCAGACATCCGACTATCATAAAAACTTAAAACTTAATTGAATAAACATAATGTAGGCGCATAGAGAATAAGTCAATTGGATAATTCAAGTGGGTAAAAATTATCGAGAATGACTCATTTTATAAATCAAATATTTTAATTTTTTCAAAAATAATTCTTAAACATTTTTTTTTTTTATATCATATGTTTTGATAATAGCATTTTCCATGACGACTTGAAAGGCCTCTTTTGGCAAAGAGGTAAAAAGTAATTTTTTTACTTCTAATTTTTTGTGGATCAAATTTTTTGACCTCTAATGTTTATATCAATTTTTTTGTGGATCACTTCTAAAAAGTCATTTATTTATATCAAATTGTTTGACTTCTAATGTTTTGGTAATTTTTTGGGAAAGAGATAAAAAGGCATTTTCAGTATTTTTTTACACGTTTTTCCAAAAAAAATATTTATAAAATACAAAAAATTAGATTTTAACTTATTTCCTAAAACAACCCAAAAAATTGTTTCTGCTAATTATAGTGGCCAATGATGAAGCTGAAGAGATAAACGAAAGAATAACAAGATTTAACCATATCGACAGGACTAAGAAGCAATCAGAAATTATATTTTCAATTCAAAAAATATAGACAGGATTCACAATTCAAAATTCAAAAACCTAATTTGTAAAAAAATAGATAGGATTCGCAATTCACAATGCAATAAATATAGACAGGATTCACAATTCAAAACCCAAATTCCTGAAACCATAACCCTAATTTCTGATTTCACAATTGAAAACCCTATAAAATATATTTGTAATTCACAATCACAAGAACGTCGTCGACGACCATCTTGGGTTTCACTCAGACTATTCGCGGCGAAGGACACGGCTACCCTCTCACAACTGAAAATTTTCTCCCCTTCTCCTTAATTTTCTCCTCACTTTCTTTTGACTAAACTTGCTTTTCTTTTATGCCAAACATCCCCTTATACTTTCCATAACAGAGAAAGAAAAAATGATTTAATGATCAGTTGGATCTATGGACTCGGGATAATTAGTACTAGACTAACCATGACAACTTTAAACATAGTTCCTTGTAATTCAATTTTGTATGACACTGATAGATATCATATGATTCTATTTTTTTTTTAATATATCATAAATATTGTTAGGCTTTGATTAATTTATTGGAATGAAAATAAAAGGGAATGGCATGATTATTCCTTAAATATGTTTTGATTAAAAAGAAAAATTTGTGGAAAGTGAAAGTGAAAGTGAAAGAAAAAAAAATAATAATTTGGAAAATTTGAAAGAAAGGGATAGAAAATTTTGAAATTTTAATTATAGATAATTTTTATATAGACAAAATTAGATTTTCTTGTGTTCTGCCATGTTTTTTTCCAATAAATTATAAAGTTAGTTACGATAATAATATACAAGAAAATTATTATTATTATATATAATTATTTATTGATTATGTAAAAATTATTTGTTCCTAAAAAAATCATATAACATTATTTAAAAAAATTAACTTATCATAAATTTCTTAAACCCTAATTTCTGAAACCATAACCCTCATTTCTGATTTCACAATTTAAAACCCTAACCCTAATTGAAAAATGATTTCACATTCATCAATTCAAAACCCTAATTCAAAACCAAAACCCTCATTTCTGATTTCACATTCAATAGAAAACCATAACCCTCATTTTCTCATTTCAAACATAATATTTAAATTTTTCTAAACAGATTCAACATTCAACAGATTTCACATTCAACAGATGTCACATTGAACAGAAATCTGATTTCACATTCAACAAATTTCATAATTATAAACAGATTTAAAATAAATATAAACCATTCAACATTCACATTCAACAGATTTCTAAACAGATTTCACAAATATAAACCCTAACCCTAACCCTAATTTAAGATTTAAGATTTCACATTCAACAGATTTGTAAACAGATTTCACAAATATAAACCCTAACCCTAATTTATTATTTCTGATTACACAACATTTTCACATTCATGAACCTTATTCTACCAACATTATACCCACATTCATGAAACCTAACCCTAATTTATTCACATTTTCACAAACACAAAAAACGCATTAAAGTAGATGACAGAAGCCATACCAACGAAAGAGAGGTATCGACAGTACTGAGAAACAGAGGGAGCTCGAGCACAGAGACAGAGAGAGAGCAGTAAGAGCGAGAGAGAGAAAGAGAGTAGTAAGAGTGAGAGAGAGACAGCAGGGAGCGAGAGAGTGAACCTGTAACAAGCGTGAATGCAAAACACGGGGCTGGGAAGATTATATATAAGTTTTAAAAACGTAGTTGTGAACCACGATTTCACTTAATGAAAAAAAATTTTGCCAAAAAACGTGAATGTTGAATGGTTTATATTTATCCTTGGAATAGCGATTAAAGTAGATGACAGAAGCCATAATTATGGTTCAGAATAGCGATTTCAGAAGAAATTTTTTTTTGGATGATAGAAGCCATAATTTTCTAGAAACTATTTTCTGAAAATCAGAACCAAACAAAGTGAATAATTTTGTCAAAAAAATACAATCATTTTGTATAAATTTTATAAAATCACATTAGTCCTATAAAATTAAATGAGATTTTATGAGTTCTGTTGAAATGTTACCTAATAATAAGTTGCAAGTAGAAGTAATAAAAATAGAATAATTCTATATGTAGCAATTAGTCTACTAACTATTGTATTAATAGATGATGTGACATAATTTTAGAAGTTTTAGATATTTGTAATTTAATTAATAGGTAGGATCAGTAATAATGGCATAATATTAGTTGGTACAGTAATTGGTGTATATAGCACCACCGATAAAAATAAAATAAAATAGGTTTGAGGGGATTGAAAGTCTGTCCTGCGGCCCAAGTGGCAAGTGACGTGAATTGAGAGGAGTTATTTGGTTGTTTTGGAGTAAATATTTCATACTATTTAATGTGTAACTTTAGTCCAGTTGTAATATAAAAAAGATTTTGCTAATGATAGTCTTGAGAGTTTTTATTTGTTTATTTTATAAGAAACACCAAATGCCAACAGATTTATAATTTCAATACATTTTTCATATATCTCAAAATAGTTTCATACATTTCAATGCATTTTTATACACTTTTTTTAGCAGTAAGTCACCCTAAGGATTGTCTTCACATTTTCCACAAAAATAATAAATTCTACTATTTTAAAATGGTGACTCACTTTATTCTATCACGAACAATTTCATGATTTAAATATTTTAAATCAAAAATTAAATCGAATAATTACGAGTATATGACACAACATGACACATATTGGCACAAAAAGCCAACACCTTATTAAGAAGGAAAGGAAATTATACTGAACTACCCCACATGAAATTTGAACCTACCACTCTCTCGGCAAAATGAGTTTCAAATTAGCAATGATCATTTTCATCAGTCAACTTTTTTACCACTCATTTTTCATTACCACACTTCAAATGCTCCACAAATTCATCAATGGACTTATCTGAACTCCCTCCTTCACTAATTGCCTCCTTTGCCAACTCCTTCCATTTACAAGCATTTTTTCTAATCTCAACACTCCTCTCTCCTCCCATTACTTCTTTCAAACGACCCATGAGCTCTTCTCTCCTCACAATCCCTTTCTCATCCCCCTTAGCCCTGACCCCAACACCCCAAATTTCCTCAATAAACTTAGCATTTGTCAATTGGTCAGCCCACTTTGGCACCCCAACCATTGGCACACCAAGGCCCAGCCCTTCAAGTGTAGAGTTCCAACCACAATGTGTGACAAAGCAACCAATGGCTTCATGAGCCAACATTTCTAGCTGGTTACACCAAGTTACTATAAGACCCTTGCCGCTTGTTGTTAAGTCTATGAACTCAGAGGGCAATTTAGTAATCTCAGACTCTCTTACCACCCAAATGAAGTCCAAATTGCTTCCCTTCAATCCCCATGCCATTTCCTCCATTTGTTCCTCTGTCAATGACACCATGCTTCCGAAGGAGACATAAATGACGGATTGGCTTGACTTGGTTTCGAGCCATTTGGCACACTCAGAGCTGAGTGGCTTCCATAGACTGGCTCCGTACCCTTTGTCGTCTTCAATTCGCTGGTCCAAGTATGCCGATGGTATCATTGGACCGATCAACTTTCCCGGCCAGAGCTCCCATACATTTTTCACAACCTTCAAATAAGCACAAAACATTAAATTAAATTAACAAGAAATGCATTGCAATTTCAACAGTCGAAAGACTGACGAAGTTCACAAATATTATGTTGTGAACACGTCGAGAATAAGTTTTAAACTTGATTTGAAAATATATTAAGTTTAAAAAATATGTTTAATGTTGGTTGGTTTATCTATTAATTAAGTTTTTCTCAAACGAGTTGATTGGAACCGAGCTCAATTAGTTTAGTTTAGGAAAAATTACACTGTAGTTCATATAGTATGTCAATTTGGTCATTTTAGTTTTCATTGCATCACTTTTATCATTATATTTCATATTGTATCAATTTAGTTTAATTCACTCACCTTAAAATGATTGACTAGTAGACATTCAATTTGAAATGTTCCCTTTTTTCATTAATTCTTATATAATTTCTTAACATATATGATTAATTGAACAAAATTGACATAATATCAATAATTAAAAGACCAAATTGATAGAATTAAAACAATATGAACCAAATTGAGAACACCTATATTACAAGGCAAGAAGTATAATTTATTCCTCAATTTTTTTTATATATAATCCCTATAAGCTTATATAGTCGAGTTCAGAAGTTTCAAAATTTATTTTTATATAGATGAGTTTGACCGATGTTCAGCAAATAAATGACTTCGAAAATATGTTTAAACATTAGTCAAACTCCAGCAACTCAATTCATCTTACAGAAAACCATTAACATGTACAAACCTGGCCTTCCAGTTCTTCAAAGGAGTTGCCAAAAACCCAATCAGCCTTGTCCAAATTAGAGTACTGAGTCAATTGCATAGCCAAGTAAGCAGGGTTACTCTCAGGGGCCTGAACAAAGCTCGGCAAGTCCACCAAGTTCATCGGTGGCATCCCCCGCATCATCAGCGGCAACTCCTCCTCCTTCATCGGCAACCTAACCACACCGTGGTGCACACGACAAAATATGGAGCACACCGAGGCCGAGTTAGTGAAAAATGGTGCACCATAGATGCCATGGGTCTTACTAATCTTGGGCTATTGGGCCTAAATAATTTAGTGGGCTCAAATTAACCCCTCTTACACTGTGTAATGGGTTGTGGCTAATGTGGCTTTTACACCTTTGGAGGCCAGGTGTTTGGCAAATTGGAGGAGAGGGTTTATGTGGCCCTGGCTTGGATATGGAAGGACTATAACATGGCTTCCATGGTTTTTTTGCTCCATTTTGTGTTTTTTGGTTAGTTGGTTTGCTGTTTTGTTGTTGTTTGGTTCTATGGGGATCCTTTTATTTATAGGGTGAATAAAGTAAGAGAGAAGGAACAAGAAAGAGGAAGTAGTGGTTCCAAATTTTGGTTCCAATACATTAACACTTTTTGATGTTTGCTTTTATCTCAGCCAACTTTGACACACGGGGGATTTCTGGTTTAGTTCGGTATATGTTTTGAGATTGTGTATTTGAACTTTGAAGAGACATATTATAAAAGTAATTTTTAAGTACGTAAATTCTTACAAATATACGTAAATTATTTTATAAAATTGTGTAAATTTTCATAAATATACATAATTTAACTCATAAAAATTTGAGAAATCACAACTTACGTATATTTGTAAGAACTTACGTAATTTTATAAACTAACTAATGTATATTTGTAATGTATATAGTATACCGCTTGTACATCCAAATATTTTCTCATATTACAACGGATTTCATATTTTAATATCAAATTTAGTGTATTATCTGAATTGTCACTATTTTATTGGTTTAATGGATTTTATCAATTTTATTTGTTTCTAATAATATTTACAACTTCCGTAGTAAACTAAATATAAGGATAAATTATCAATAGGCCTTAATAGTTAGAGTTAATTCTCATCAAGTCTTACTGAAAAATAAGTCTTGGTATAATTATTGTTAAAAATAATTTTTTTGTGACAATTTTTTACATACGTCACTAAAAATTAACAATTAGTAACTTTTTTTATCATGATTTTTATAAATTATCGTTAAAATTTACAATTAATGACATTTTTATATGATAAATTTTTCGTATAAAACCTATTAGACAATAAACCTACACGTAAGTATCCAAATATAATGTACGACCCTACCCCGCCCTATTAGAAAATGAAGAGAGGAGGGTATGTCACAAACTCAGCTCGTCTCGCACTTGTCGTCGTCATTCCTAATGATGTCATCCTTATTAAGGTAAGCTTATGTCATCCAATTATTTTAGGTGTGATGTATGTCAACTTTCACACATGTGCTTTAAATAGTATTTTTGGTTTTTTTTTTAAAAAAAAATGTGTGTTCATTTTCAAATGCGCGACTCGGTAATGTAATCAAAGTATCCGTGTAGGCCACACTCTATTCCATAATCATCATCTCATCAAAATCATAGAAAAGTTCGAAGTCTCAGGAAGCATTAATTCATCACCTCATCACGACCTTATAACCTCACAATCGCGCTCACCGGTTCTCCAATTTTATGTAATTTATTATTAATTTTATATTTATAAATATTTTCTTAATTTTATAAAAAATATTTTACTAATTTTTTATTTTATTAATATTTCACAACATATAATAAAATGATCTCTAATTATTTTATATTTTAAATAATATCAATTTTATTGAGGCGATTTTATTAATATAAAAGATACATGTCACTTATTTTTTTAACTTCAAAAATAAAATGGCATGTATATGTTTTATGAGTAATGCTAAAGAATCTAAAATTTCACTCCTAAATTTATTTACAATGACATGACAAAAATTGAGTCTTAATTGATTGATTTCTAAATAATCAACTGAATATTTAACGTTATTGAGTGTAAATTTAAGAGTTAGGGATCTTAAGCATTTTTTACTTCTTATTTACTATATTATGTTAATCAATAAAATAGCTTAAAACAATGGCTTAACCATTTGTATAATGATATCTAATAGTTCAATACTTTTAATAACTAAAAAAATATTTGTTAAATTTAGTTAATTTTATTGTGAAATACTTCTTTCGCAACGCTTACATAAAAAATTATTTTCAATTAGCATCTTACCAATACTAACTCAGTATTTTTTATGTATAAAAGATGGCCCTCTTGGACAAAATTTCTAATTTCGCCCCTAGCTGCCGCCACCACGATCGATATTGCCACTAGCACCACTATGCTTCCATACCCACAACCTTCATTACCATTGAAATTGTTACCATAAGCACCCCCATTATTTGGTACCACAATCACACACCACTATTATTACTACCATCACCACAAAAACTATTACAACCTTTCACCTTCATAACCATTGTTACTTTTGTCATAACCACCATCATCATTTCACCATCACAATCACCACTATCATTACACCACTACCGATACCCTCGTTTTATCTCGATTATATAACCTCTCTCTATCACCATAACTAAGGGTCATCAAATTGCTCGTAGACGAAAAATCCCTACATTACCCAACCCGTCCCACTCGCCCCATGGCTCATCCTAGACAACTTGAGTGCCCATCCCATCCCAACCTATAAAAGATAATTCAAGGCTTTGCATAAAGGTTTGTAACTTGAGCCTGCCCATGAACTCGGCTTGTAAGAGCTCGCATAGGTAAACCCAGCCTGACCATCCCGTCAACCTGACTCAAACTATCCCGTCCAATTTTATTTTTATATGTATCCAAAAAAATTAACACTGTTCAATTCAAATTTAATCCATCAAAATACATTAATAATTATATATGTGTGTGTGTATTATATTATATGGGGTTTTAGGATTTAAATGGAGTAAAAAAATAGCAGCAACTAATCATATCTCTCTTTCTCTCTTTGCAAAGCATGAAATTTGGTTAACTTCAAGGGTTCATTTTCGAGAGTCTGAGAGAGGTAGCACATGATCGAATTCGAATTAGGAAAGGTCAACCGAGTTGGGTTTTCTAGCCTTGTGTGATGGTAGTCCGTTTTCTTTTTTTTCTTTTCTTTTCCCATTTATAGGTATTATAAATAAAACTCCATTATGTTACTTTATTGTGTTTTTATTATATGAGATATAAAAAAATTATATATATATATATATATATATATAACAGTACTATATTCACACAATTTCTCTCCTCCACAATTCCCTTAATGAGGTGGCAAGACAAAATGCATGTAAGGAGAGTTTTGAAAGAACATTGGAGTGTGGGTTAACTTTTCAAATTTTGCTTGCCATGTCATTTGGAGGAATTTGGGAGGAGAAATTGTGTGGATGAATCATTTAAAAAAAAAAATACTTAAATTATGTTGGAAAGTAAAAGAAAAAAAATAATTAATGAAAATATTTAAAATATGTGAATAAAAAATGTGTATAACTTAATAATATAAGTCTAATGAAAAATGTGTAGCCCTATTCGGTTTGATTTTGGTTAGGGGTGAGCATTGTCCGAATTGGTATGGATTGGGGTAAAACCAAGACCAATCCATTATCTACGGTTTTTTAAAAAATTGGAACCAATCCAATCCGTTTAAATCGTGGAACCAATCCTAATCAATCCGTTTAAACACGGATTTTATCGATTTAGGATCACAGATTCACATAATTAAATAACAAAAAAAATATAGAACATTTTAATTTCATTAAAACATAAACCTAGCATCAAACAAAAGCAATAAAACTGGATTCACATTACACAAAGGAGTTCTCCTCTGTATTAAAACTAAACATAGCATCAAACAAAAGCAATAAGAAAATTGGTTTAGCTTTTATATGAAATAAAAAATGATATTATGTGGGAGGGTCTATAATATAAATATAGACTATTTGTATAAGGTCCGGATCGGTTCCAATCTAAAACCGTGAGGTTTAATGCAGAACCAATCCGTGGCCTACGAATTTTTAAATTTCCAATTCAGAACCGAACCACGGATTCAAAAAACCAATCCAAACTTATTGGATCGGATTATGAATTTTACGGATTTCTTGCTCAGCCCTAATTTTGGTCTCTAAGATTTGGGTTTATGAGTGGAATGTGATTTTTGTTTTTTAAATAGACTCGACCCGTACCAACAAGTTGATTGGTCAAAATTCAAAAAACCCAATTAATATATGAGATTTGGACACAATAGTTGTGGGTTGGATAAGCCTAACCCATCCCATTGATGACTCCTAACCACAACCACTATCACTCTATCTTCACCACCATTGTTGTTGGCGTTATAGACACCGTTATTGCCTTCACCACCATCACCACTACTACCATCAACTCACTATCACAACATAAAATTGAAAAATATAATTTTTAAATTTAACATAATACATATTAAACAATTTATTTTAGTTCAACACTTAAATTTTTATCAAATATCTTTTTCAACTTAAAAAATTCAGTAATTAATTTTTAATTTTTAGTTTTATGTTTTATCTAAAACTACCTAAGTGAACAGAAGATTAAACACAAAATGGATATCGATTTCTCACAAGAGGTAAGACGCACATGATGTCGGATCCACATGCGAGACCCATCCTTTATGAGACATCTATACCTCACTCTATATATGATCCTTTTTTTTTTTTTTTCTAGCTTTAGTTAGCTTCTTAGTTGATTAGGCAATTTGTAATATCTAATTAGCTTGCGTAGTTAATTAATTTGTAATATTTATTTGATCCCAAGGATAATCAACCATAAAATTAATTACATAACATATTTTTTAATTGTTTATATGAAATGGTGGATGTAGCATCCCAGGTCTAAAACTCAACTTTAACCCCCTTGTATGAATGCCTCGATACACTTTTGGACTTTTGGAGTTATGGATTATATTGTTGTTGAGTAGATTGAGTTGGCATTGAATCTTTTGCATGTATCGTTTTTGAATAAATTTTGTTTCGGACATGAATGTAACGTCCCAATTTTATTTACCCGAATCCATTGTCAAAACATTCATTTAAATCTATTTTTCCATAGAATCATTGTGAAAGCAAATAATAAATAACAAATAATAATGTTCTCTCTCATGTGTAATGATAAAATGTTCAAATATAATAATTACCACAAATGCCTTTAATTTTACATTGAGAATTTAAGAATAAAATAACTACAATGAAAAGAATAAATTCCTTTTTACAACACATTGACATTTCGCCTATAATTAGCAAATCTCAAGCCTCCAATAACCTAAACTTCTTGATTTTTGGACGAGGCAACAAACTCCACATCTAAAAAATGGTTTAACAACGGGGATGAACAAATATGTCCATTAGGGATTTACAATGAATCTAAACAATAACATACCA